ATCTCTCTCCTTCGGTTTGGAACTCTTCTTGAAAGCCTTGCAAATCTGGGCTTCGCACTGGGTGATGCCCGCGCGGACGCAGAGATCCTTCGCCTTCTTCGGGAGCCCCTTGAGATTCTCGACCTCCACCTCTCTGTCCAATTGCTTGAACGCGACGGCGAATTTCTCGAGGGTGCTCTGGTACAGCTGCAGACCCTCAGGAATATAAGCCCAAAGGGTGGCACGCAAACTGCCTGGGCAGTGGTGCCTGCACATGTGCATCGGCACAACATGGGATCATACGACGACAGAAATCAAGATATTTTCAAACTCAGATCAATGACTAATAGGGCCTACTTGGGGACGCTAACAGGTACCAGGACCACGATCCCGACTAAATTGCAAGCCGCATTGGACGGTTCGACAACGATTGCATCTCACATCCAAGCCTTTGCCGCTGCCGTCCTGCCGCTGCTGATCGGCGCCACGTCGATCTTGTCCAGCGCATTGTCGTAGACGTCAATGATGTCCCCGGTGAAGCCATCAGCCCAAAGGGAACCACCTGGGCCACCACTGGCGATTTGCTCAAGAACGTCTACCTTCTTCTGCAGCTCTCTGAGGCACAAAGTCAAGAGGTCAACGCAAGCGTTTCTGACATCAGGTTCGCATGACGTCACAGTGGCCTTCAGGATACCCACGACTGCGGTGAGATTCTTCTGTTCGTCAGGCTTGTCTGCTGTCGGCGGGGCCGCCGCTGCTTTTTTAGCTGCGCCCCAGTGGTTCCAAAACTGTTCGCCCAAAGAACTCATCTTCACATTTCGGGCCTTGAGGTCGTCATGCTCCGCAAAATCCGCCGCCGCGCACCACCTGCGCGGAAAATTGCTGCCGGCAGGTCTTTCCCGCAATCCCTGTCGGCCTCGACCTTGCTTTCAGAACCAGCTGGGGGCCTGGGGCCCAGGGCCCAGGGGCTGACTGCAAACGCTTCCCAACAAATTGGTTTGTTTCTCGCCGCAAGAGCCGCAAGACTGCAACAGAGGCCCCCAAAAGGCTCGGCAGTGCACCAAGGCAAAACCCAAGTACCCCCCTAGACGGAATTTCCAATGCACCTTACTTGGGCCGACTTTTTCTGGCCACTCTCATCGCGAAGCCCCCCTGGGCCGAGCGACCAGCACATTAGGCCCCGGGCCAAAAAGATACATCGAGACCACGAATGACTACTCCAAGGAAGATGCCCCAAATACCCCCGCGACGGCCCAAGCGGCGCCCAAATCGCCTGAAGCCCCCCCGCGACCACGCCTGCGTGACTCTAAAAATGCCCCCATGGAACCGGATGGGAACTTCCGAGGGGCATCCCCGTTCCCAAATGTTGCGTCAAGGTCAAGGATGTCAGGGTCCATGCCGACCGTGCTCCCTGCGAGGTGCGACAAAATGTCTAAGAAGAAACGCTGACAAAAACACGCAGACGTAACGTATACGACTGATGTACGATACGATGGTGAGGGGCCCATCGGTGCAAAGTTGAACCCTGCGATTGCACCCCGTTCAGTTACCGCCAGAATTCTGACTACAGAATGCTGGTGAAATTGCGTTGATGCCGTTGCCGAGAATATCTTATAGCGCAAGTGTAACCCGCCCACGGCCGACAACAAATGCATTGTCTGGTAGCGTTTCCTCAGGCGCATGTACATTACATTCCAGATGCCCATGAGAAATCTGTCGCCCATTGATGGGTCGCCCAGCCGAGTCAGCCTGACTATTGTCGGGCACGAAAGCTCCACAGCTCGCATCGGCCATCTGCCCTGGAAACCTACACCAGTAGAGTTCGCACCGACTGTCTGAGCTGGAACTGCGCGCCGAGTCCAGCCAACGGATTGGGGCCCTACACTGTACGCTATCCAGTTGTTGTAGGGCCTACAACAACTGGATAGCGCACGCGGCAAACCTCCCCCACCCCTCCTCCTTCCAGGCGCTTCCCCGAGCATCCTCATGACTGGCTCGGGGGGGGTGCGATCTCGAAGCCAGGTTTCATTGTGCATTGTCGCTACGTTCTGCCACATATGCGGCCTGGCAATGAGGGGGCGGCGGGGATTCGCTGACAGCGCTTTCGATTGCAGTTCGTCCACAAATCCCGCGCCTTCTTCAAGTTCCTGATGGGATCTACGACAGCCTTCATAGACTTGCACATAGCCTTCAGCGCCTCGTTCAGGCCGTCCTGTTTCATGGTCACGGCCCAGAGCTCGGACATCTCGTCAGCGCCAGCGACGAGCATCGGCAAGGACGGATCTGGCTGTTCGTCGGGGGCCGCATCGTCTAGCACGATCTCGGCACCTGCTCCACTGGGGCCACTGGGCGGCGCACCTGGAAGCGCGATGACGTCGAATGTATTGCCCACAACATCAAACCACACGGCCAATGCCTCCTGGTTGAGCTGGCTCCCGTCCACGCGCTGGGCCGATTTCAAAAGATCACATATGAGGTCATAGTCCTGCTGCTGGTTCTGTTCGAGTGAGCTGAGGTACCTGGCGCCCGTGGCCATGAAGTGGGCGATGGCGTCAGTGTACTCCTTTTGTTGCAGGAAGTCGTTCCATTCCTGCAACGGCGACGTGGCCGGGGGAATGGTCACGCCACGCAAAGCCTGGATGCGCGGCTCTAATGGCAGTCGGGATCCGGGGCGGGGCGGGGTGGGAGGGGAAGGGGGTTCGCCATTTTTAAGCCGGTTTTGGGCATTCCCCATTGACGACTTCCTCCCCGACCCCTCCTAGAATAGCTGGGAGGGGGCCCCGCTGACGGCGGGGGGATGTGGCTGCGCACTCTAGTGCAAGTGAGTTTTGCTTCAACGCAAACTGCGGGAAACCCCCGGGGGCCCTCAGGTGCCAGTGGGGCCCCGAAGCATGATCAGGTTAGTGAGTGACGGTTAGTGCAAGCTCTGGCTGGGGAGGTCGCGGCCGCCCTGGAGGGGCACGGGGCGACCCCCCCCCCCCCCCCCCCCCCCATCATGAGAGCTCCCAGACAGCAGAGAGAGTGCCCCGCTGGCGGAAGGAGAGACGCGGCGGGGCATCTTAAATGCAAGCGCGGTCAGCGTTCAGTGGCGGTTTCCCACGCTCATTCTGATTCGCGGAGAGAATAAATCGCACCGTTGTTGCGCGACAAATACTTCGCATCGAACGCGGCCCACTCAGAATGGCCCCTTCCAGTTTGGCCCCAGGGCAACTTGACGAAATGACGCCCCCCTGGCCCCGCGAAGCGGCCCCGCAAGGGGGCCCCTCAAACCGCCCCGAGAGGCGCCCAGACGAACTGCTGCGACCTGTAGCCGCCAACTGTCGTGGATCACCTCGGGCATACTAACTAACTAATGGCCGAACGGGCGAAGGGAGGAGGGGAAGTGCGAGGGAAGCGACGCACAGAAAGAGGGAGAGAGAAACAGAGAGAGACACAGAGAGAGAGAGAGAGAGAGAGAGAGAGAGAGAGAGAGAGA